ATCAAAGCTTTGGTCAGTAAAATGGCTTCATCTCTACTGTGCATTTGTGGACTGCACTTTAAATCAAAACGTCATTGAAAATTTTGCTGCACTTTTGATTTAATTCTCATCACATGACAAAAACGTTTTATTGAAAAGTTCTTTCAAGTTCTCTTTAAGTTTCTTTGCTCTTGAAAAGTCCTAGGAAATATAATTTTTCAGAATAAAATAAAAACAAGAATTGGTGTTAAATAAAATAAAAGATTTCATATTGTTTTTTTCAAAAATAATGTCACTTTTGCGGGGGGAAAAAATAAAATCAAAATTATATTATTGCAAAGACCTGCGCTGTTAGAGTCAATTTGGGATAAAAAATTTATTCATCAGTGACATAAAATAATTTTTAAGTGGAATTTTTCAACTATTTCTGCAAACTCGCACGACATTTTTTTGCTTTTACGCTAAATGTTGAAATTTAATCGGATTTAACCACTGAAAAAAGAGACGATTTAATTCCAAATAAAAAACTGAAACGCGTGCGGGTAAATAAAACGCTTTTAGTCTGCGTTTTAGTCACAAAATTTAATCCATTCATTATTTTCATCCGGCGCTGTGAAAATTTTGCCCAAATTCAGCGCCGAAAATCACACTGGCCGCACAAAAGTGCGTCACCAGCAGCGTGCAATTTCATAATCCACTCTAATTCCCGGCAGCCACAAAGCGTCATGCGACCCGGCTTGGTTTTGTTTTGACTGCTAGTGGAAATGAATATGTTGTTTTGCAGCGCCGAGCAGATAAAATAATGCAGATCCGGCAAAACCGAAATTGCGCCCTGCTGGATAAACACACGGCAGCGCGCGATTTCGATATGAAATTTGCAAAGTAATTATATGCCAAGTCGTTTTATCCGCCGGCGAAATTTAATACGATTCCTTTTGGCGGCGTTGCTCATCTCCCCCGAGCAGATTTGTATTTAATAATAATTTTCAAAAGGCCTCGAAAACTTCGCCTCTCTCTCTCTCGGCACGTCTGCCGCCAGCTCTGAAGATTTCATTAAGCGCGAGAGCAGACTTTTATGCAAGTTTCCTACTCAAACGCAAAAACTTGAATCTTTCGAGCTCTTTGAAGCGCACGAAAAATTCCTTCTTCAGCAACTTTTCAGGCCGAATTGCCTAAAAGGTGCACAATATTAAGCTCGAAAAAAAGAGTTTTGTAATGTGTTCCCTAAAAATAAAAAACACGTTCCTTACCATTTGTTATTGTTTCCTTTTTTTATTTAGTAAAAACAAAAATGGATAGAATTTTGTTAATTTGAAGAATTTATCCGAATGAGATTATTGAAAATTGTACAAATTTACTATTTATTTTCCAATTTCCTATGCTCATGCGGAAGGGGTTGAAGTTAATGAGTTAAAAATTTTATTGATTTTTTTATCATTTTAATATCAATCAAAATTCATTCTAACAATGGATCTTTGCAAAATGAGTCATTCAGGTTCACAATTTTTAATAACTATAAAAAATCACTTTTTTTGAAACGAATAACAATTATTATTTTTCATTTTGCCATTTTTACTGTTTAAAATGGATATTAAAAAGATTGAAAGCTCCATTAACTTAAAATTGGAATGATTTAAGCGTTCATTTTTTTTTTTAAATATCCTCTGAATTAATAAAGGACATAATTTATTTGTTAATGCTGTCATTCAGTTTTGATTTATTCACAAAAAAATTGTCAGACCAGAGACCTGATAATGATCTTTTTACTAAATTTAATCTCCAAAATTTAGTTCTTCCGTTCTCCACTGAGGATTGATAAGGAAAAATGAAAAAGAAAATAAAACTAAAGGAAGAGAAAAAAAAACTGCTCCGCTGAATAGACAGGATATATTTTTTGTATTATGTGCAATTTATTTAATATATTCTTCGTCATGTAATGGAAGAATGGGGAAGAATATTATCTGATTTTTATTTTGAAATCTCCGCTGCCGGCGCTACTCTCCGTGATCAACGTCGCAGTCGAGTGAGTCTGCTTGCTGCATCAAACCTTCTTCCTCGTTGATCGAGTCTCTCTCTTTTTCTATCTGTGCTCTTCGTCTGATCAAATTACACATTACGGAGCGAGAGGGTGACATCAAAGACTTTTGCAAAGTGATTCGGCCCCCGACCTGCTGCCGACCGACGCGATCCACACACGCTAATCCCAAAGCGTGCTTGTGTCATCTAAATTTCTCGGCAGTATTTACGCGCCACGTTGACCAGCCCGAATCTCTGCACCATCAAATTTCGTTTCAAAACCGCACGTGCGTCGGTCAGCCACAAAAGCATCAAACCACCCACAGCACTCACGCGGAAAAGTTCCCGTCTTTTCCGATCGGAGAGGATAATCTCTTGGTACCATTCTTTCATATTGAAAATTGAAAATAAGGAAAAAAAAATCAGTAATTACATTTTCTGATTCTTATCAAGCAATTCGCAAATTCACTTAACAATTCAGTTTTATGGTGATTTGAATTTAAAATCGGCTTTTTCTCGATGGGTTTTTGTGAGTTGTTTATTGTTTCAGAAAAAAAATCCTGCTCTACATGTTTCGGCTGCGGGCTGCAGCCATAATTCATGAGCTGCGAAAACATTTTGACAAAAATTAGTACAAAAATAATTTTTCTTTCAAAGTGACAATTTTCCATGAAAAATTATTTAAAAGAACATATCTTCACAAAATAATTTTTAATTTTTAATTTAAGTTAATTTTAGTTAAAAATTATTTTGTGAAGAAATGTTAATTTAAATAATTTTTCATGGAAAATTGTCAATTTGAAAGAAAAATAATTTTTGAAAAAACATTTATTTTTGTACTAATTTTTGTCAAAATGTTTTCGCAGCTCATGAATTATGGCTGCAGCCCGCAGCCGAAACATGAAGAATATTGTTTTTTTCTGAAATAATAAACAACTCACAAAAACCCATCAGGGAAAACCGATTTTAAATTCAAATCACCATGAATCAACCCTCGATCGTGAAATTCTACCACAAAATTCAGTTTTATTTGAGATAATAATTTTCTAAAAAAACACTCAAAATTTCTAGGATTCAAAATATCTCAAAAGATTAAACACATTTTTGTTTTAATAATTAATTAGTTAATTAATTACTGTTTTAATAATTATTTCAAACATTGCATCTCTGTTAATTATGTCCCCTTTTTTCAAATCATTTAAGCGAAAACCCTTTTTTAAGATATATGATCCGAGACCATTAAGCAAACGCAAATTTAAAAGAAACGCATCATTTAATGTGTTTTTTTGAAAATACAATTATCAAAATTTGAAAATAAAATTAAAATTATTAGAATTTGTTTATTCCAACTAATTTTTCAATGTTTTGGATGAGGATAAATTTGTTTTTGAATTTTTTCCTTTTAATAATAACTCTCAAAAATGAAAATAGTATAAAAAAAGGAATTTTCTCTGTTTTTTTAGCCCAGGAATTTCATACGCTTTTTCCTGCTCAAGCTCTTCACTAACGTTACCGCGGACTGAGCCTTGTATGTACTTTGATGTTTTGCTGGTTGGAGTGAAATGCAGGCGGAGCAGGAGTTGCATACACACCTCTCTCTCGAAATCAGGCTCATTCCGTTTGTTTGTTTGTACTTTTTGAAAAGAGCAGGGGCACGCAAGAAAGGGAGCGGCCTCATTAACGCCTGCGACACCTCTACACTTTTAGCAGGCAAAGGGGGGCTGAGCAAGTCCATAAAATTATGACGAGCCGAGCGCACTTTCCTGTTCGTGTGTCTCTCCTGGGAAAAGACGGAAAGAAAAATTTCATTTGGCGGCATTTTTATATATACGGAGATCGAGAGAGGGCTGCCTGCACACGACGCATCAGATGTGCAACTGCTCTAAAATGCGCAGGGGGTCACAAAATTAAATTTCTTCCGCCGGGACACACTCCACCCTCTCCGTATGCAAAATGCATAAAGGGTGCAATCAACTGCGCCCGCAGACCGTCCTAAGCGACGCTTTTACGCTTTTTTCAGAGGCTTAATCTCATTAAACGTCCAAAGTTTGATGCTCAAAACGCAGACTTATGGCAAACACAGCTCATTTGCATATTTTAATAATTTAAGCCGAAGGATATTTTTAAAATAAGTTGAATTATGTTCGTCTCTTTCTAATGAAAGATTGAAATATCTATGTAATAATTTCCAATGGAAGTTTGCTCTGTCAAGCAAGAAACAAATTTTAAGAAATTTCCCAGTCAAAAATGCCATGGTGGCCCAGTGCAGGGCCGGTACTGGCAGCGAGGGCGCGCTGCTGGCTGCTGGCTAAAGTGCTGGCAATTCGAGAGCGGCCAGCAGGCAGCCACCGCGGTGGCTCTCAGAAGGAGAGAAAAAATGATTCCTGCCATATTCTAAGTCCGAACGCTGGCTAGCCGTGATTGAGCATTAATGGCATTGTCAATGGGTGCCAATATTGTTCAACGTTTTTAATATACCATAATTATCATTAAATTTTATAAAATAAAATAAACTAGTCATTTAGTCTAGATGTTTACCTTTTACATTTTTCTTTATTTTATTTTTTAATATTTTTTATTTAAAATATCTAAAACATCTTTTTTATGGTTTTATTTAATTTAAATTATTTGTTTAGCTCTGTTTAACTTTATGATTTATTTACACCCTTTACAAAATATATTTTTAATTTGGACTGCGTATAATTTTAAGATTTTCTTCATTTAATTTTAATTGCTCTTAATCTACAAAATATAAGTATAAGTAATTCACGCACGCAAGTTCAGTCACTTCAATATTCTTTTATTTATGTTAGGGAATTTTCAAAATGTAATTTAATGTAATAAGTTTGTTTTGCATGATATAAACGCGTTTTTGAGATCGGTTGGAAGGAAAAAGTTATACCACCCTGGCTGTGCGGTGGCTGCGTTGCGGCCAGCCATATACACTGCGTGCGTGACTTTCTAGCATGCGCAGAAGAGAGATTTCAGGCAATGCGCCGCTTCTCCCACAGCGGCGTCAGGGCAATAACAACAAACATGTCGGACGCGAGACCTGACCACGTTTATCAGCTCCGCATTTTTTCATAATTTAAGCCCTTAAATTGCAACACTTCTGGAAAATTTTTGTTCGCCGATGCTGGGATCAAGTTCGGTCACCGATTTACAAAAATGGTAAGTTTAAAAATGAATTAATTCTGGCATAACTTAGCGTAGCATCATTTTGACGCCAACAACAAACATCTCTCACATATACGAAGCATGCTTGAAGGGCGTTTCTTTGCCTAAACTGCGCCTAAATTAATTTAATATTCATTCAATCTGCGTTTTTCCGATTATTAATTTAATTTATTAATTTGCATTTCAGAAAAAAATCCTAGGAGTCAAATTTTGCCGAGGAGACCCAGCAACGCGGAATATATAACCACTGCTCATCCTCTGTTTGTTAAAATAAAAATAGGTAATGAATCAATTTTGTTTCTCAAAATATTAAAAAAAATCTTACAATAAATAAGTTTACGTCGTGGAAAAATTTAATTCCATTTTTAAATTATTTTGGTATTAATGAATAATTTTATTTATTAATATAACAATCGAGATTTTTTTGCTATTTAATCCGCAATTTTAATTATAAAATTTTACTGTTTCAGAACCTTTTGAAGAACACCTCAGACATCAGCGGTATCGACATCAGCCCTGCTTTGTGGATAATGTGCTTCATCAATTAGGTAGAATGCGATTTTATTAGGAAAATAATTTTTAGATCGATCTATAAATTTATATTATAAATTATTATATAAGATATTCTAATAAATTTGTCAAATTAAATTCACTTATATACTTGATTTATATAAAATTCGGTGAAATGAGTTTTTCAAACAATATGAAAATATAGTAAATAGTTGGTTGTTGGTTCCATTAAGCTTTAATCCTTTTGTGTTTGGTTTAAAATTTGAATTTTTATTGTAAAATATCAAAATATTCAATGTTCAACATAAACAAATATTCTTGACTTCTGACTGATATTATTGTGTAATTTAATTTTGAATAATAAAAACATATTATTTTTCCTGAATAAATATGTCATTTGATTTATATATATCATATTTTTTTAATATTACCCAAATTATGAAATTAAAAAAAAATTAAAATTATTAGCAATAAAAAAAGCAAAAAGTGTGAATGGCTATTCCATTTTGAGCCATGTCGGGTGCATTATGGCTAGCCAGCGTGGTGCCATGGCTGGAGCCGGCGTCGGCCCAGTGCTGGGTCGGCCTGCAAAGTTCGGTGCGTACCATTGCTGGCTGGCCCGCGCTGGCGTGTCATGGCAGGCCGGCGCTGGCCCCCCATCCAGCCAGCATGGCATTTTTGGCTGGGTTCAGTTTACGCATCAGTGAATTAATCAATAAAGCCATTTTGTTTTCTAATTAGCTCCTAAATTCATTACATATAGTAGTATTATAGTTTTCTCTTGCATATGCCTGATGGAAACGTGTTTTCACAATAATTTGAAAAATAACCGTTAACGTAGATAAATATTTATATTTTAAGAATTAAAAATTGTAAGTTTAACGTGCATCAATTCTATGTTTTTATTTTAAATAATAGCACAAATTTAATTAATAACCAGAAAGTATCTAAATTTATATTTAAACAAAAAATATAACTTTAAATATAAGAGCAAAAAATATTAAAATAAGTGTTTATTTTTAATAATTATACATTTCTTTTTTAAACTTTTAATAATAAAGATTTAATTGATAAAAATACATCTAAATTTGTTGATTTGTTATTAATTAAACGCTAGGTGCACAAAAATTTAACGTACAGAACATGAAACATGCAACTATTTATTAATTTTTTTAGTCAATAATATTCAGTTTATAAATCCTTAAGTAAACTGGAAACTTTTAACTCTCTCATGTGTTGATGGCAGTGCAGTGTTTTTAATTCGCCCTTTTCATTATGTTGCAGGTAAATTCATCGCTTACGTGTGCTCGTTCGTTGGTGGCGACAGCCCGAAGTTTGCCTTCTCGAGCGTTCAGCCGAGCAATTTTTCAAAGTGGGGCGGCGAAATGAACAGGCGTCAGCTCAATACTTGCCAAGTTGTTGTCGCTCGCGTGGCGGCAAAAAGTGCACGCCGCCCTCTCTCTACACTAAGCGGCCCAGCTTCTCTCCGCACAAAGTAAGCTATCCACTTTAAATAAATATGTATAAAAATGGCACGGCCGGCACATAAGCGTAATGGCGTCGCGAAATTGGCCAAAAAAGAAGCTCTCGGGTCATCTAATTCTGGCGCGGCGCCTGCGTAAGCACAACAATACACACATGATTGCCAGCGAGTGCAGCTTCGGCCAGTCTGGCCGCCAGACTAGCTATTTATTATGTAAAGCTTTTGCCGAGTCAGTTCATATTAAGCCATAAAGGATGAGACATTAAGCGTGTTATTATGTGGCTCCGAAATTACTCTCGATCCAGCAGCCTGCGCACCAAAAGCGCCCTCTCGCTTGTTTGTTCGCGCCTAACCTACTCGCCCTTCTTCTTCTTTATCGACGATTTTTTCCATCACTCTTTAGTACTCACATGAATTTTTTACCGGAGGCTTCTTTCATCTCTGGAGAAGACAACTCGCCAAAAATTAATAGAGCCAGACAGTACTTTTTATAGCCAAGTAAATCTGGCTTCTCGTTACCGTCATTTTTTAATCAATTATTTAAATTCTGCCAAGTAGAATATTTGTCAAGACTTACGCTTTTAAACATGACGTTTTAGATTGTTTTCTACAATATTTAACTTGCTTGTGGTCATAAATGAAATATATTTCATCATGAATTATTTAGCAAAAATTTTAATAGATTTAAAAGCAGAATTTATGAAATTGCAGAAATTATACTTTTCATGTCAACTGGAATTAAATATTAATGATTTTATCCATCTAAATTATTAATATTAAGAAAATATTTTAATTCTTAATGTGAGGTAATTAATTAACTGCAATCAATTTAGCAAAATCGCAACCGTAATAAATGGGCATTAAATTCATAATTTCTTCCATATTGATATGCATTGATAATTCGTTGTAAATACATATATCATTTTCTAAAAATGATTGTTACAGAAATTTGTACATTCTTGCAAAAATCTTTTAAACCTTAACAAATTAAATGACTTATTAAAACATATAATTAAAAATTTTAATAATAATATTTTAGTTATACACAAAAATATAAAAAGAGTTGGAAAAATAGTATGTTTATTTATTTATTTGGCTCAAAATAATTTTATATCATCATAATTAATTTATTTGTAACATATTGAACTACTTGTAATGTTTTAAACTTATAAAACTGATTTCGACAAAATTGAATTAGAGGGAGTGTGCAAGTGAACATGTAAAATAATCCCACCTGACAAAATTATAACAAAACTGCTCAAGATGTAATTTACTTCTTCACATAACTATACACATGTCTGACAATTCCCAGTGGAGCAATCAATTATTTTTCCCTTTCGCTCTCACCTAATCTCTTATCCTCGCGACACCGCATCATTATTATTACCATTCAGCGCGAAACTCCTTTTCTCCGCAGAGATGAGATTTACCTGCTGCGAGCATCATCGAGTGATATAGGGTGGCGCGCGATATTTAATTAGGGTAATTGATCATTCGGCACGCGGGGCGTGGCGGGGGATGATTTATTGCTCCCTCAAGAGGGTATTGAAAAAGAAGCAGCAGCCAGAATGATACACGGCACTTTAATAATGATGATTATTTAAAAAGGATCCTATATGCACAGCACCAGCGGCTGAGCGCTTTTTGAATAAAAAAAAACCGTGGCCCAGAGGCAGATGGCTCTCGTCCTCTCAAGTGCTGTTTGACGCACATCGGCAGACACTTTCCAGCCGCTCTCTCGCTATCTCTTTCGCGAGAACGAGAGAGAGGGTCTAATTAGAATAATACCATCCATTCAAGAGAGCGTAAAAGAGGAGGGAGAGGAGCCGCTGCTGCTTTCGTTCATTAACCCGTGTTGTGCTTAATTAAAGTCATTCTCTAATCTTTGATCATATTTTATCAGCGTGCTTGTATGCGAAAGCAGCAGATTCCACTCTCCGTGTCGTTACATTATTATATAAAAAGCTGCAAAATATTCCCCAGCGAGTAAATAAAGCGTCGCTCTGCTCTCTGCGTGCCATTTTCCGAGCCGCCGCGGGTAATGCAGTTATTATTGTTTTAAGAGAAACATACGGGGTGAGTGTGTGTATGTGCAGGGGAGGGTGAAGGAGCAGCAGCCATAAATATTCCACTCTTTAAATTGGATTAAATTTTAATAAGAAAACACGAGTGATTCATGGGCTGAGATCTTATTTGCTTGTTATTTGCTTGCACGTGGATAAAAATTATTCGCAGGATTAATTAAAAAGGAAGGCGCGGCCATTTGCATTAACGTTCGTAAATGTAGCCGAGTAAAAATTATTGCATAGCAGCTGCAGTAGTTAGCAGGGCAAATTTATTTACGCTTGCGAAATTTAATCTCTGGAGTTCGCCTCTCTTTTCAATTAAAACTTCTCTCAAGTTTGATATAATTTTTCCGTCTCCCTTCGCCGAAAGAGCAGACGAAGCTAATTTTTTAATTGGGCCGAGTTAAGACAATTTTCTTTTTAATTTTACCATCAAAGCAGTTCATAAAAAAGATGACGAGCAATACTTTTTAATGTGGTCAAAAATTTAGTGCACAGTTAAAGAACGTTAAAAGGGATCATCAAAGAAAATAATTAAGCTGGCAGTAGAGAGAGTAAAAAATGTCCATGAAATTTTACAATCCATAAAGTAGAGCCCTCGAGGCGAAACGGAAAAATTCGAGCATTAAATCATTTATATTCACTCCACGACATTTTTTCCTCGACAGACAAGAGGGGTCGAAAAAATTTAATGATCATCGCCACAGAGCTCTCATTTCTCTCCCTCTTTGAAATGCGACTCATCAAAGCATACAAAATTTTTACTGACTAATAAACAGCAATTGTAATAACTTGAAAAAAAAGGAAGACTCAACCCCTCCGGCTTCTTTGTATAATCAGTGACGACAAAATTGCACCAATTTCCGCAGCTGCACGTCCTTTAATCCGAAAATATTATGTCACTGATATGTACATTTGCGAGTGAAACCTGAACCTATATCAAGCTGTCTCGCGACTTAATCTGAAATTCTATGCCAGAGCATGTGAAAAGCTAGGAGGGCTGAAAGGATATCGCTCGCGAGCATCGCATATAAATCACACACAGAGGCGGCCCAGATGAAAAGCAGCAAAACCCGGCCATTCAGCCAGTCAGGTGTGTACGCCGAGATGATATGCTGCGTATGTATTATATTCAGAGATGTCCTCTCTGCGAAACATATTATCATATATGCAGCCCGAAGGGGTTGCCTGTCATTTCCCTGCTATTGTCACCGAAAAAAGTCGTCAACCTTTGTTTGTGTACGTTATTTTTTTTTTTATACATTCTGCCAGCAGCAGGCCTCGATAAATTTCCTGCTGCCGAGAGTGCTGCATTTGACTAATGAAGCTCGAGCGTTGCTGTTTTCCTCTCCTGGTTTTAATCTTCCTGCGGCAGAAATTCGCGTGTTTTTGGCGGAGAGGAAGGAATTTCACGCGCTCTTTGCCAGCAGAGACGGCGCGCACACGGCAAAAACAAATTCCGCCGAAAATATGAAATAAAAATAGTGAA